GAGAGAGAGAGAGAGAGAGAGAGAGAGAGAGAGAGAGAGAGAGAGGGAGAGGAAGGAGAGAGGAAGGAGAGACAGGGTCTTACCATGTAACGAGCTGGCCTCAAACTTTCCATCTTTCTGACTGCCTCCCAAGTGCTGTAATGCAGGTCAGGTGTGTTCGGCCACACCCAGGGCTGGTGGCCTGAGTTTTAAATTGCACCCTTTTATGTGCAGCCTAGTCAACCAGCAGGTTTTCTTTCCTATTTACTATTTAAAGTTATTTATAAAAATAAAAATAAATAAATAAGTTATTTGTAAAATACAAGCCATGTTTTTCTTTGACAACTTCAAACATGTATACAGCGTGTCTTGATCATATCTATTCCAACCTCTGCTGTCCTGTTTCCTCTAGAACCTCCTAGAATACCACTTTCCCCCATAACCCACTAATCTAGTTAGTGCTGCTTGCCATGTACATGATTGTGAGACCATTCACCAGAGCTTGAGCAACTCCAGAAGAAATGGCTCCTCTTCCCCCAGCAGCCATAAACTGCCAAAAGCTCCTCAGCTAGGATTGGGGCTTCATGAGTTCCTACCCTGTCCATGCTGGAATGTTGCCTGGCTTGATCTTGTGCAGGTTACCACAGCTGTTAGGAGATTATGAGTAGAGCGGTCACGTCCTGTTGAAAACAGCATTTCTTAACTTTCTGAGCCTTGTGTTAGAAATAAGTCGTGAGTGGCAAAGAAAGAGACCACCACTCTAAGTGTCTCAACGGTAGAATTTTACTCCTCATCAAGAATGCACTGCTTATCAAAGCAGAAGAGCAGGTACACTGGGTCAGGAAGAGTACGTGGCTCTTGTATTCTTAACACAATTGGCAACTGTATCTTCTTCCCGCTGACTGGGGTCCAACCTCATAGTCTTTCCAGATTGGCGTGTGTGGAATGGAAAAGGGTTTACTGGTCCAAGGAGAAAGAGTCACTGCTGTGAGGGGAATGGGGTCACGGTTCAGGCTGTTAGGTTCTTGGAATGCAACAGGAGCCCTTGTGGACTGGGCAGGGAAGGATCAAAACATTTGCATTTAGGTGGGGAAAACACTTGTGATACATTTAAGGCTGAGCACTCAAGTTGCTTTTCTCAGCACTTTGAGTCTCTAGCTAACTGCCGCCCACTATAAAAGCTGCTCTGACCAGACAGAGAGCAGCACTGCTCTGGGTATAAGCACAAATAGTTACCATTTAGCAAAACTGATTTCCCCAGGGCCTATGTGCTCCCCAGGAGCTTTTGACCAGTTTTGTAGTATTGTGTTAAAAAAATTAATCATTTTCATAAAATGTTTCAGATATAGAAGGTTTAAAGAATCAAAGATATTAAATATAATAGTTAAGAAATAAAACCAGGCCTAGATGCCCGCAACTCAGCATTTGGAAGGCTGCAGCAGGAGAATCAGGAGTTTGAGGCTACCCTCTCTTAAAAATAAAACAAGCAGCACCATCTACAACCTAAAAAAATTACAATAGAAATTCTGTGCTTTTGTGAATTTTCCTTACCCCCAGAGATATGCCCATAATCTTACTTTGTTGGATATTATACCAATTAATGTCTTTATTCTTAAGCATTGATCATCAAACAATCATATAATCATACTATGTAGTATCACATTTTAGGATTTTATAGCTTAAGCAAAGTAATAAGACTGAATCCAACAACATACAGAATTAATTTAATATAGCACATTAGTGGAATAAAAATACAGGAGCTGGGATGTAGCTCACTTGGTAGAGGGAGCATGCACAAAGCCTAGGAGTAATTACCATCACTATATGAACCATGTATGATAGCACAGTCCTGTAATCCCAATATTCAGGAAGTGGAGACAGGAAGAGTAAGGTCATCCTCAGGTACATATTGAGGCCAACCTGCGCTACATGAGACTCAGAAAAGAGAAAAAAGGGTCTGGAGAGATGGTTCAGTGGTTAAGAACACATGCTGCTATTCTAGAGGTCCCAAATTCAGTTCCCAGCATCTACTTTGGGCACCTCACAACCCCCTAAAACTTGCTCTAGGGGATCTGATGCCCTCTTCGGGCCTTTGTGAGGACTAGACAAATATGTATATACACACATTGAGACAAGGTCTCTACTGTGTGGGAACCTTAAAGTCACAGAGATCTGCCTCTCCCTCCCAAGTACTGGAAAAGAAAAAAATTATTAGAGAAAAAACTTAGAGAAGTAGCATTTGGCTAATTCTTCCTCATGGAGAGATGACTTCATGGTTAAGAGCACTGGCTACTCTTCTCTTCCAGAAGATCTGGGTTCAAGTCCCAACCCCCACATGATGACTAACAGCCATCTATAACTCCCGTTCCAGGAAATCCAGTGTCGTCTTTTGGCCTCTGAGGGTACCAGGCACTCAAATGGTACATAGATAAAAATATGGGCAAAAGTACCCACATATATAACCTTTAAAAAAAAAATAAAAAGCACTCAACAGATTGGGAATTAAAGGGAAATTCCTCAGATTTATAAAAGGCATCTAAAAATAGCTCACAGCATGCTGAGAAAATGCACCTCCCCGCTAAGGTCATCAGCAAGACAAGCCACTGCTCTCCCTCCCTGCTTTGAACGGTGTACTAACGCTTATAGCCAGGGAAGTTAGGGAAGAGAAAAATGAAAGGTACCCAGACTGGAAAGGAAGTAAAACTACAGCAAATGTTACCTTGTGGATTGAAATACCAAGGGATTTTTAAAAACTGTTAAACCTAATAAACTGTTCACGCTAATTTATAGATTTATAGTTTCTGACCTGCCTTTAAGACCTGCCACTCCTGGACTTGAAGTGCAGTTATGTGACGGGAATAAGACATCTACACATGTGTACTGTGTTCATGCAAAGTAAAAATACCCAAAATAAATAAATGTTAAAATGCTTTAAGTTGTTTGAGGCTATGTGCCAGGTCTTGAACACTTTTTTTTTGGGGTGTGTGTGTGTGTGTGTTCCGAGACAGGGTTTTGCTGTGTAGTTTTGGTACCTGTCTTGGATCTCACTCTGTAGACCAGGCTAGTCTTGAACTCAACAGAGATTGGCCTGCCTCTGTCTACCAAGTGCTAGGAATAAAGCCGTGTGCCACCACCACCCAGCCGCTTTTTTTTTTGTATGTTTTTACAACCAGCCTGAGATACTATTTTGTGCGTTTTATTGATTTAGAAATGGGAACTGGGTAAGTAATTATTCTAATTGCAGGTGTTAGGCCAGCGTTCAAGCTTAACAATTCAGATTTTATTTATGGTCATTGAGATAATATGCTGTTTCCTACCATACCTCTCGTTTTGTAGGTCTTTGGACACTTTATTTCATGGACATCGTGCCTGTTTGTGTCTTTCCAGGTCCATTAATGAGATGAAGCGGTTGGAGGAAATGTCAAATGTATTTCAGAGTTCTGGAGTTGAGAATCACCCTCCTGAACCAAAGACCCCCGCAGAAGGGAATGAAAAGTCGAAGGACAAAGAAGAACCATGGGAAATGGTGATGGATAAGAAACACTTCAAGCTATGGCGGCGCCCAATTACAGGAACCCACCTTTACCAATACCGAGGTGAGCCATGCATGCCGCCTTTGACCTGTGCCCATAGTGCCCAGGCATGCAGCGCTTGATTCCTTGTGCTCCTAAACCATTCTGTCCTGGCTCCCTTTATTTTGTTTATTTTCCTCTCTCAGATGACAAGCTTTTCCTATTCTTTCTTGATACATGTCCTCTCTGCCTTGCTTTACTGCTCCTGGGATGGTTGTAGGTTTTGATCTTGCCTTTGAGACCTGTCAGTCTAGGGGACAGAGCGTGGCAAGCCCCCCTCCCCTCTTGTCGTTCTAGTTTTTGGAACATACACAGATGTGACGCCTCGGCAGTTCTTCAATGTTCAGGTGAGTTCATTTTCTTTCCAGATTTGGAGCTTCCTGGCTCCATGAATACCTATAATCACAGCACTTGGGAAGGTAAGGCAGGAGACTTGCTGCAAGTTAGAGGCAAGCCTGGGTTATATAACAAATATAAGGCTAGTCAGAGCTACATAGCAAGACCCTGTCCCAAGAGTTAAAACAAATAAATGAATTAAAAACAATAAAAAAAGGTTGAGTGTGGTGACACATTCCTTTAATCCTAGCACTTGGGAAGCAGAGGCAGGAGGATGGATCTCTGAGTTTAAGGCCAGCCTGGGCTACATGGCTAGTTCCAAGACAGGCAGCCAGAGCTACATAATAAGGACCCTGTCTCAAAAAAACAATAAAAAATAAATATACAAAGTACTAGGCTGCTTTATGGCATTTTCAAACATAATTTGTTTTGCTGGTCCTCTTCCTCCCCTGCCTTCTCCCTCTTCCCTCTGTCCCCTCTTGTATATCTCTACCCCTAGTAACCCCTTTCAACTGTGATGCCACACGTGTTCTGTTGTCTTCCCCCTGGTGTCATGACTTATATATACACTCACACCCACATATTTATACATATATGAACATTAAAAGCTAGGATCTGCATATGAGAGGCATTTGTCTTTCTGAGTCTGTTACCTTGCTTAATATAACTTCCAGATTCTCCATCTTCCTAAAAGTTTTATAATTTTATTTTTCTTTATGGCTGAATAAAATTCCATTGTATATAAGTACCACAGGTTTACTATCTGTTCATTTGGTTTAATTTTTTTGCTTTTGTGAATAATACAACAGTACACATTTATAGTAAGAGACATTATATAGGGTATATGCCCAAAAGTGGTGTGGCTGGGTGATATGGTAGTTCTATTTTTAATTTTTTTTGAGAAACTTGCATATGATTTTCATAATGGTTGCACTAATGTATAATTACACTAGCAATGTAGAAGGGATTCTTCTTTCTCCACATCCCTGCCATCCTTGTGTTGTGATTTTTACCAAGCTTTCAGTGACTAGTTTGTTGGTTAAAATAATATAATATCCACTAATGCCAAGCCTGTTGGAATAGGCCTGTGGTCCTAGCTATTTGGGAGGCTAAAGTCTTTCTGGGACATAGTGAGTTCAAGACCAGCCTGGTCAACTTAATGAGCCTGTCTTAAAAAGTAAAAACAGGACTGGGAAATAGAATATTGCACAGTATGTGCTCTGGGTTGAATCCCCAGAACTGCAGCAACAATACACCCACCCCTAAGGATATGCAGGTGTGCTTTGACCTAGGCACTGTATTTCATTAGTGTTGTGTTTTGTTTGTTGCATACTATATATCTGTATTTGAAGTTCCTTAGTTACTTGAGATGCTAGAAGATGAGAAATATTTCCTGAATTTCTATGCACCAGAGACCTGTTCATACTTTAAGACTTTCTTCTGTTTAAAGTAATTTAGAGTTATCTTTACACATTATATGCTATGTTTTCTCCACACGTTTCCTTTTCTTTTTACATTTTTTTATTTACTGTGGGAATGAGGGCACAAGTGAGGCTTGTGAAGGCCAGAGGACAACTGTAGAGACTTCTCTCCTTCCACCCTTACGTGGGTTCTGTTACTGGATTCAGGTTGCTAGGCTTACATGGTCAGTGTTGTTGCTGTGATAAAACTCTTTGTCCAGAAGCAACTTAGGGGAGGAAAGGGTTCATTTCGGTTTATAGGTTATAGTCAGTAACTGGGGGAAGCTGGAACAGGAACTATGGAAGAAGACTGTTTATTGGCTCTCTTCCAGGCTCATGTTCAGCCAGCTTTCTTATCTAGTCCAGGACCACCTTCCCTGGGAATGATATTGTCCATAGTGGGCTCTGTCCACCTAGTCACTTAACAGTCAAGACAGTCCCCATAGACATGTCCACAGGCCAGTCTTATCTGGACTTCCCCTTCTCAGGTGACTCCAGGCTGTGTCGAGTTGACAGTTAAAGCTAATGACTACAGGTGGGAAACATGGTTACCCTTTGAACCATCTTGACAGCCCCATCCCACAGACATTTCTATTGCATAGTTTTTGTGTATGTGCCTACGTATACACACGTGACAATAGGAACTGAACATGGGCTGTCAAAACTTGCTAGACAAGTACTCTAACCATTGAGCTGCATCTTCAGTCCTTTTTTTTTTTTTTTTTTTTTTTTTGAGAAAGTCCAGTGTTGCCTTGAACTTCTCATCTTTCTGTCTCCACTTCTTGAATTGCTGGTCTTTACAGGCATGTGCCCCAAATGTCTGGTTGGATTTTTAAGACTCCCTGCAGGGGGCTGGAGAAGTGGCTTAATGGTCGAGAGCACTGTCTGCTCAGTCCGACAACCCAAGTTCCCAGCAGCCATGTGCTGGCTCATAACTGTAACTCCAGTCCCCGGGGATCTAAAACACTATCTTCTGGCCTCCATGGCCACCAGGCAAACATGCTGTGGTGTGCAGACAGGCATTGTACAGGCCAAACATGTGTGCAGGCCAAACATTGTACACATACAAGTTAAAAAAATAAATTCCCTCACAGGACTTGGGGAATGGTTCAGCAGGTAAAATGCTTGCTGTTCGAGCATGAGTTCAGATCCCTCTGTCACCCATGTAAAAGCTGAATATGTATGGGAGCATGTTTTTGTAAGAAACCCCAGCACTGGGCAGATGGGGGCAGATGGATCCCCAGAGGTTGCTGACCAGTCAGTGTAGTGAGAGAGCCCGTCTTAATAAAATAAATCCATCACTCAAGGAGACAGAGGCAGGTGGATCTCTGAGTTTGAGGCTAACCTGATCTACAGAGTGAGTTCCAGGACAGCCAGGGTTACACAGAGAAACCCTGTCTCGAAAAATCAAAACAAACAAATAAAATACAGTGGAGAAGACACCCAGCATTGACCTGGTGTGTACATGCACAGATGCACACACACACACACACACACACACACACACACTCACTCACTCACTCACTCACTCACTCCCCTCAAAGTATGTAAGAATCATAAGGGAAACATCTAATGAACAGCCATGCCTCTAAATGTTGGCACTGTTGAGTTAAATCACTATTTCTCCATAATGTCCTTAAGTCAGAGATCCAGCCTCCAGAGAATCTTCTGCATCTCTGTTTGGATCTTCCCTTTTGCTTGCAGCTGGACACAGAGTACAGGAAAAAGTGGGATGCTCTTGTGATCAAGCTGGAGGTGATTGAAAGAGATGTCATCAGTGGTTCTGAGGTTCTTCATTGGGTAACGCATTTTCCTGTGAGTGCTTTTACTTTGGCTTTATTTCCCTCAAGTCTGTAATGCAGAACACTAATCCTGCCCCACCCCCTTTCTTTAGTACCCAATGTACTCGAGGGATTATGTTTATGTCCGTCGGTATAGCGTGGATCAGGAAAACAATGTGATGGTCTTGGTGTCACGGTATGTATAACTACTGGAGCCCTCATTCAGCTCCATTGGCTGTCCTTCTGTACCTTTAAGCTTGCCTTCACTGATGCCCTGCAGACTTACTAGCAGCCAGTTCCCATTCCTCTCTTGTCCCTGCTGGGGAATAGGCGGATCTACCAGGAAGGCTGAACGAATACTTAAAAGCTTTTGCAGGGAGGTGGGAGTGGGTAATGAGGGTACAAACTAGAGCCTTACTCATGCTAGGTAAGCATGGCACTGCTGAGCTATTGCTCTGAATTTAAGTTTTGATTGAGTTTTGCCAATTTCTTAATGCTAGTGATTTTAAAAGGGAAAACTAGAAATACAGCCTGTGAACTATGTATTATAATATCAAAGACACTTATTTTCACAACCTGGGTTGTATTCATTCATCTCACTGACTGCTTGGCTTTGTTGAGTCTTGCCCACTCCCCACCACACACCCCAGCTTTGGCTCACCGTCAGTTAATGCAAAGACAGTCATCCCCCTCTTCCTCCCTACAGTGCAGTGGAACACCCCAGTGTGCCAGAGTCTCCAGAGTTTGTCAGGGTCAGATCCTATGAATCCCAAATGGTTATTCGTCCTCACAAGTCATTTGATGAGGTGAGTTTTACCGCATATTAGAGATGAGTGTTGTGGCTTTGAATTTTTTCAAGGAATGTCTTTTTCTGAACTGGGGAGAGGGGAGTTGCCAGAATGCAGTATGCTGGAAAAAGGTATGCATAAAGATCAGCCTGGAACTTGTTAGATATATTGTGGGCCCTGGTCTCACTTTCTTGTTATTTCAAGGATGGCTAGAAAATACTTTAAAATCTAAAGATTTAAATTTAATAAATCTCTAAAATAAATAAATTCTGGTTGGTGTGGTGGCACATACCCTTAATCCCAGCACTTGGGAGGGAGGGGTAGGCAGATTTCTGTGAATTTGAGGCTAGCCTGGTCTACAAAGTGATTTCCATGTTAGCCATGGCTATGCAGAAACTCTGTCTCAAAAAACCAAAAATAAATAAACAAATAGATAAATTCTGAATTTTAAGGAATTCTAAATGCCACAAACAAGTGACTTTATTGTGACTTGTTTTTGAGACGGTCTCATTATACAGCCCAGGCCAGGCTGGCTTGGAACTTGGTGTGTGGTCCAGGCTGACCTCTAACTTGCAGTTCTCCTGCCTCTGCCTCCCGAGTGTCAGATTACAAGTGTGAATGTCTGCACCTGGCTCGTTTGTCAATTCTTCCTGTTTTCTGGGCTGTTGGAGTTTTGTTCAGAAAGTTCTTGGTTGTACTAGTATCTTGGGTTGTTTTCCTCTAGCATTTTCAAAATTTTAGGTCTTCTATATCTTTATGTCTGTCTACCCACCTATCTATCTGTTTTTAGATAGGGTCTCTCTACTTAGCCCTGGCTGTCCTGGAACTTTATATATAGACCAGGCTGCCCTCAAACTCAAAGACATTGACTTGCCTCTGCCTCTCAAGTGCTAGGAATAAAGGCGTATCTACCGTGCCCAGCTTGAAGAGAATTTTGTATAGGGTGAGACCTGAGTATTAGTTTCATTCTTGTACATGTGGGTATCCATTTTTCCTAACACTGTTTGTCAAAGAGGATGTCTTTTCTCCATGGCATGTTTTTGGTATTTTTGTTGAAAATCAGAGGACGGAAGCTGCACAATTTTATATGTAAGTCCTTTATTCTGTTCTTGTGCTAATACCATGTTTTTGTTAACATGGTTCTGTAGTATGATTGGAAATCAGAAACCATGTTAACTCTGCCATCATTGCTTCTTGTTTATGCCCAGGATTGCTTTGGCTAATTGGGTTTTTTGTTTTGCTTTGTTTTTTTGTTTTTTGCTTCCATACAAACATTAGGGTTTTTCTTTTCTACTTCTATAAATAATGTTTTTTTGGGGGATTGCATTGAATATGTACATCTTTTAGTATTTACTGTAGTCGTTCTATGACCATGTGTGCACAGAGGCCAGAGAAAGACATAGGTATCATCACTCTTCTTTCTTAGTCCTTTGAAACAGGATCTTTCACTGAACCCAGAGCTCTTTGGTAGGCTGATGGGCCAGCAAGTCCCTGCGATCCTCTTGTCTCTGCTAACCCTCTCATCTCATCCTTTAGTACTGTGGTTACAGGCACATATACCATGAACTTTTTTACTTGGGTGCTGGGGATCTGAACTGAACTCTTATGGCTGTACATTTTAGCCATCTCCCCAGCTCCATGTAGCCATAACCATTTCACAGTGTTCTACTGGTCCATAAACATGGATGTGTTTCTATCTTCTGTTGTCCTTTCCTATTTGTCTCTCCCCTGTCCCACCCTTGCCTTTCCTTGCCTTACTGCTAGAGAACACTTTGAGCACTAGACTGAGTAAAAAGAGACAGTGGTATAGAGTTTCTTTTTTGTTAATGTTCCTTTCCACTTTTAGTATCAGGATAATGTTGACTTTATAGAATGGGTTTGGTAGTGTTCCTTCCCTTTCTGTTTTATGGAGTAATTTGAGGTCTGAGACTCACACCTAGGTCTCTGCAAAGTGCTCTTAACCACTGAGCCATCTCTCTAGCCCTTCCTTTAAAATTTTTTTGTGTTCATCTATTGTGGGTGATGGGAGGCATGCAACTAGCCCTAGAGAGACTAAGGTTGTCAATCTTGACAAGTGCCTCCACCTACAGACCAGCTGTCATGCCTCAGAATTGTCATCTATTACCTTAGTTGAGGTGGAATAGAAGACCCACCCTGAATGTGGGCAGTACTGTTTCATGGGCAGACCAGTGAACTGTGGTAAGAATGAATGAAGAAAGCTAGTCTAACAAAAGCAAACAGATAGCAAAAAAAAA